AACTCTGCCTGAAATCTAATATACTCAGCTGTTTAGTGTCCCCTACTCTAACTCCTCCCCTCCTCTTCCTCTTTCTGTAGGGGTCCCTCAAGGCTCAGTCCTCTTCTCTATCTACACCTCCTCTCTTGGTCAGTTAATAACCTCACATGGCTTCCAATACATCTCTATGCCGATGACACTCAAATCTATCTTTCTACTCCACAACTCTCCCCCTCAGTGTCCTTGCGTGTCACTAATCTACTAACTGACATATCCGTCTGGAAGTCACAACATTTCTTAAAACTCAACCTTTCAAAAACTGAGCTCATGATATTTCCTCCCGCCCGTGCACCTTCTCCCGTCTTTTCCCTTGAGATTGTTAACACAACTATCCACCCTCCCCCCATGCCAAGGTCCTAAGTGTCATCCTTGACTCACATTTCTTCTCCACATCCAATCACTATCCAAATCCTGATGCCTTCACCTTCGTAACATCTCCAAAATATGCCCCTTCATCACCAATGAAACTTCAAAACTACTCATCCACTCCCTTGTTATCTCTCGTCTTGACTATTGCAACTCCCTCACCATTGGTCGGCCCTACACAGGCTCCTCCCCCCTTCAGTCTATTATGTATGCAGCTGCTAGACTCATTCACCTAACCACCCGCTCTGTGTCTGCAACCCCCCTCTGTCGATCCCTCCACTGGTTTCCAATAGCCCAAAGGATACAATTCTAAATATTAACAATCAGTTACAAAGCCATCCACAACTCTGCCCCCGGCTATATCTCAAACCTCGTCTCAAAGTATCACCCTAACCGTCCCCTCCACTCCTCCCAAGACCTCCTGCTTTTCAGCACCCTCGTCAACTCCTCCCATGATCGCCTCCAGGATATCACTAGAGTCTCTCCCATCCTCTGGAACACGTTACCCCAACCTGTCCATCTATATCCCACTCTGATCCCCTAAGACTCATCTCATGAAGAAATAGCACGACACAGAGAAAAAAAGGCGAGGAGCCAATAGAATAATTTCTCCATTTGTCTGTGGCGGCATCTCTTTGGGTCATGTAGGGGGAGCGGAAGGCAAAGCAACATGGCTGCTCTGCTGCACAATGGTTGAAGTATGCCTATCGCCCCCTTTCCAGCCAGAGCATCCCATGATGCTAAGAGCCAGGTGGAGAGATATGTAAGGGCCATACACATCTCCCTGCCCAGCTTTTAGCAACCTGGGACACCTTGGGGGGCATCCCGCCTCGCTCCTGGCAACCAATGACATCAGTGAGCTGAGCAGTACACCGGTCAGAGCTGGATGATGCAGAGGACACCAACCCATACCCCCCTTGCACCCAACCAACATATCCCCACCCGCCAGCTAACTCAGGTGGCGAAAATGTGAGAGACATTTCTGCACGCCACATTTGTCATTGTTAATTTATGTAATTTTATCTATCAGACTGAATGAATCTGAAATGGAAGTGCCAAACCATAACTTAATACATGAAAAACACTCCAAAGACCTGGAAATGTGAACTCATTTACGTGGTGTAATCAACTCTACCCCCCATTGATGAAGCCAGTGCCATCTTGACTTCTGCTCCATATTTCATTCCCTATCACGTTTATCACCTTCCATGGAAATCCCGCACATCCACAGTACAGGAAGGCTTCCTCCACAGTGAGAGGAAGTAACCTAGACTCGCTAGAGAATGCCTATGCCAGGGATCTATGCTGACATCACACATCTTCCCATGTCAGGATGACAAATTAAGAATTCTCTCTAAAATAAAGGAAGTCCCCCTTTGTTGTCACAGGAACAAGGGTCCTTTATGTAAGGAAGTTGGAACAGGAAACTGATTAATGTCGATGGCGTCCATTAACAATCATCAGCAATACGTTCTTTCACACAGAATGCCGTGTCCTTGCTGTGGGCACACAACATGCTTCTATATAATCAGTTAATACAACAACATGTTGTATGCCCTCAGCAAGGACACTGCATTCCGTGAGCAAGGACATATTGCTGATGATTATTAATGGAAGCCATTAACATCAAGCATTTGCCTGCTTCAACTTCCTAACATAACATACCACATGCATTGCATCTCTGATGCAGTCCATACAAATGATTTCCTTTTCTTAGCCCTGATGAAGTGGGCAAGTTTTTGGCCCCTGAAACATATTAGCTTTCTTGTATACACTGAGTGGCCAGATTATTATGACCACTCCATCAGTACTTCGTTGGGCCACGAGATGACTCCACGAAATGATGAAAGGTGATGCGAGGAATCTGACACTGCACTGTTGCCCTTCTGTTGTCTTGTACCAGTCTTGCCACTCTCCGTTCTGCCCTAACATTGACTAGTCGCTGAGGGCCACAATTCGCACGTTCAGACCCAGATTTTCGGCTGACAGTCCGGTCTTTAAACACTTTAACAATGAGCCCCTCTTGAACATTTAACGGATTCTGCTGTTTTGCTGATACTCGCTCCATGGCTCCGAGTGCCAACAATCATCCCACGTTCAAAGTCTGTTACATCGCGTTGTTTCCCCCGTATCTTCAGAAAACAAATCACTTCTACTGTCGTGGTAAACAACCTGCTTCCCTATTTATAATGGTCTGGCCCTCTAGCAACGCCAGCACCAAAATATAGCTAATTATAGCTAATTTGCCTACAAACGTCAGGTGGTCATAATAATCTGGCCACTCAGTGTAGTCATCCACCTGATTTTATATTGGAAAACAAAATTATATTTGGACTTTAGGTCACGCTGTGGCACGTTAATCCAAGATTCAGACATTTCCATTACAAACCAGGGTGACTGCTGGAATCCATTGGTGTGAAGAAGCAGCTAACCCAATATCCAGACTCCCTACATAAAAGACTACTACTAACACCCCCACCACTACTACTACTGCTACTTCTACTACTGCTACTGGGTAATTACATCAAGAGGACAATTCCAAGGTTGCAGGGCTAGATACCCATTCACCCAAATGATAATATGCAGACATTCTCCCACATACAGCTTTAAGGGTTGGAAGCTTCCAGGGTAGCAGCAAGACACCTTGGTGACGTAGTTCCAGTACCAGCTATAGAAAACCTCTGACACACCTAAAAGTATCAGATGGTCCAGAAAACTACATGGCTATAACTGACAAAATGGATTGCTATAGTGAGGACATCATCAGCTAATATCAGGGTAAGACAGATAATATTTTTTAATGGAAATGGGCAATTAAACAGTCAATGGACGAAACCAAATATGTCGCCTCATTTTTGAGTGTTAATGCATCAATCAATAAAAAAAATACACAAAAAGCCAAACCAGCGCCAGATAGGAACCTCCTTCAGCCACAAAATGAATCTTGTGTTCCAGGCAGGCCGCCCCGTTACAGATGAGGGATAACACTGTGTGAAACATAAAAAACAAGAAACACCGGGTGCCTTTCCTGGTGCAAATGGAGCCGGTACTAGACATGTAGGCTGCGGAAAAATTCGGTTCAGTTCAGATATTTCGTGATTCGGATCCGAAATTCGGTTCGGGTTTCGGATTCGGACGAAATCCGAATTTTCGTTAGTTTCGGATGAGTTTACAAATATTTGTTTTGAATAATATGAACACATATATGGCGTTCGCTCACCTCTCGATCCTGTCACGGCTCTCTGCCATGACAGGGGAGGGGCTGGATTCCCCCCGCTCCGATCCGCCAGCGCTGACTGGCGGAACGGACGGGGGAAGGGGCCTGTACAGCTGGCTCTGCCTCTAGATAGAGCTGGGCGGATCCCGGCACAATTGTCGGGATACGCTTCAGCTGCGGCGTCTCAGTATATAGAGAGCTACAGCTAGTGGTATACTGAGCCTAGGGTGATGGGAGAACGCTAGTTAGTGTCCTCCCGTTACCCTAAGGAGAACTATGGGGAAAAGCCTTAACCCCATAGTTCTCCTTTAATACTAAATCTGAATCTCCTACACCCCAATGGCATTCGGGAACCGAATTTCCGAATACCATTCGGGAGCTCTAGAAAGCAATACGGGTCTGGGAGCCATATTAAAGCTGAGGCTTACAGAACCAAATGGCATTCGGGAGCTCTTGAATACTATAGACATGTGCACCGGCAAAACATTTGTTTAGTTTTGTTTCGATTCGGATTTCACGTTATTTTGTTTTTCGGGATTCGGGTCCGAAAGTCAATTCGTTTCGGAGTTCGGACGAAATTCATTAGGGGTAGTCTGAACTAATTTTCTTTTCATTTTCGTTTCGTTGCAGCAGAGTGCCATTAAAAATACATTTTTTTAATGTCACTTTGCTGCGACGAAAATTCGTCCAGACTACTGCTTATGAATTTCGTCCAGAATTTCGTTTTAGGAAATTCGGATTCGTTTTCATTCATCATTTCTGTTATTCGGATATTCGGATACATCCAAATCTCCGAATAACGAAAATTCGTCTGAAAAACTAATTTTTCCGAAACGAATCGCACATGTCTATCCAGAAATTCGGACTCCATTCGGGTCTTGCAGCATCAGTTTTAGTATTATGTACATATGAGTAGTATTCTATAATATGAATGAATATTCAGCAACATTGTGACCTATATATACATATACCTGAGCCTCCCAGACCCGAAAAGGCATTCGGGAGATTCAGAAAAATTCGGATTCTGACCCATTTGGATGCATTAAACCGAAAAACACATCTGATTGACCAGAAAAGTCACATGTCCGATTCAATTTTGTTTTTGAATGAAATTCAGACGGGATCCGAAATTTGGAAATGGAAACTCGGATTCGGACGCATTTGGATGCATTGGGATTCAGAAACTCGGATGTGTCTGAATTTCGGAAAATTCATACGAATTTTGATTCGGAATGAAATGAATCGCACATGTCTAGCCGGGACAGGATCGAAGGGAAGAGTTCAGCTTTAAAATGTAGAAGCAATAGAAGGTCACCCACAGAGTGCACACCTTCTTCCATCAAATGCATTCATGGCATTAATCAGAGTGAAGGCCTACCTAAGACTTTACCCAGCGTGAGAGACTTGATGGCCTTGAAATAGATATCCGATAGGAAGTGATGCCGCTGCTTCGTGATTTTGTCAATCTGAAAATAAAATATAAAAAAACATTTAATATCACGTTATATAAGAATCTGAAAACAAACACCACGTGAAGCCGTTCTATGCATTGAATTAAAAAGAAAATAGTCACATGACTTTACTCCATGATGGTATAAAGTGCAACGTAGAGCGCCATTTAACATAAATAATTCAGACTTAGTGAGAACGTCGCTTGCAATGTCTATAAATGACATAATTATATAATCATGCGGCGTGCTAATTATATTCCGTGCAGCTCAGACCAACGGGAGGGAAAGGACACATTAATAACATGTCAGCGTCTACGGTTTTCATGGTTTTCTGCATGAGCGGCTCCTAAAATGTCATCTCGTTTGCATCTAAAGTCCAATAGAAATGGCAGTTTAACCACTTCAGTCCCAGCCCGTATACAGCACTTCATGACCAGGCTATATTTTTCAGTTTTCAGTGCTGTGATAGTGTCAGGAAGCAAGGGATGTTACCTCTTCACGGGGCCAACGGGCATGGCGCAGGGCACGGGATCCCCTCTGGACTGGTAGAACTCCTGGTGCCCAGGTGCACATGCGCGAGTTGCGCAGCATCAGCACACGCATGCCCGGAAGAACACGCGCCTGCATCATTAGGGCTATCAGGTGTGGGCCTTCTTGGGGGAGGTTCCCAGTACACCCCTTCCACCTCTCTCGCCTGCCATTGGCTCCCGGTGAGGGAAGCCTCCTGGTTGCCTCGGTGACCAGGGGGTGGTCTTACATCTCCTGGCTTTAAAAACCTGGCCAGAGCCCTGGCTTGTTGCTGAGTTATTCCACCATATGGTGTGAACACCTAGCCTCTCTGTTGGATCGTGTTGTTACCTGTTACCCCCCTTCGTTTGCACTTCCTGATTACCGGACCCGTGGACTGTCTATCGCCTCTGAACCATCGTTACCTGCCTCGACCCAGACTGGACTTTGACTACTCTCTTGGATTGCCCCTAAATTGTACTTTGCTTCCGGACTCATCGGCTGCTTCCTGCCAGTGGGTTCCTCACCAAGCTGCCAGCCTTCTGGTAGTCTGACAGATAGTTTGACTGACAACTACTCCGACGTGCAGTAGGCTCTTTCTGCTGGCGGTATTTAATAACCCCCCGAGGTTTGTATTCTTTTATTATATATTGTAAGAAACTCAACAGTTTTGAAAATATATCAATTAAAAATGCCAGGACAGTACAGAAAGCCCCTAACAGTGACCCCTTTGTAGAAAGTAGATGCCCCAAGTTGACCTCATTTTTTGCCACAATTTTAATTTGGAAATTAAGAAATTGGCTAATTGTGAAGGGGTTAAAACATAGAGCTTGGGAATGGTGCACTAGATACAACCCGTCATTAATGTACAGGTCATACACAGAGGGAGGAGGAGGTGAAGGTGTTAATGTGTAGTTCACATACAATGGGAGGAGGTGCAGAATAAAGGGAGGTGAAGGGTTAATCTGTAAAAAATAAGTCAAGGCAACTGGAATTGCTGTATTTTTCTTGAAGACGTTTCACTGGATATCCAAACGGCTTTCTAAATTCAGAATTATTTTTTTTACAGATATACCATGACCTGGATGAATGAGAACCTTCACAGACATGAAGGGTTAATGTACATGTCACACACACCAGGGGGTATGGAGAGGAGGGGGTTCATGTAAAGCATAAATGAGGTGAGGGGTTAATGCACAGGTCACATACAGCGGGGGTCATGGAAAGGAGGGGGTGCAGAATAAGGAAGGTGAAGGGGTTAATGTGTAGGTCACATACAAGGGGGTTATGGAAAGGAGGGGCAGCAGAAATAAGGAGGTGAAGGGGTTAATGTACAGGTCTCATACAGTGGGGGTATGGAGAGGAGGCGGTTCATGTAACGAATAAAGGAGGTGATGGGTTAATGCACAGGTTACATACAAGGGGGTTATGGAAAGGAGGGGCAGCAGAAAGAGGGAGGTGAAGGGGTTAAAGTACAGGTCACATACAGTGGGGGTATGGGGAGGAAGGGGTTCATGTAACGAATAAGGGAGGTGAGGGGTTAATGCACATTTCACATAAGCGGGGGTATTGAGAGCAGGGGGGTGCAGAATAAGGAAGGCGAAGGGGTTAATTTGTAGGTCATGTAGAGTGGGGGTCTGGTAAGGAGGGGGTGCAGAATGAGGGAGGTGAAAGCCCCATTCATTTTACCCCCTAGAAAAAAACAATCACTTTAAAGGAGAACTATGGGGGTCAGTGCTTTACCTCATAAACTAGTGTCCTCCCAAAGCTCAGTATATCGTGAGCTACAGCTTGCAGTATACTGAGACCAGCTGTACCCGCCCCCTCCCCCATCCATTCCTCCAGTCATCGCTGGAGGATCGGACAGGGATGGGGGGGAGGGGGAAATCCCTGCAGGGAGCCGTGAGTGACAGTCACGGCTCTCTGCAGGGACAGGATCGAGAAGTGAGCGAGCGACGGTATGTGGTAGCTCCCTTCCCGATCTATTGAGCCGACATGTGACAGTTTAATTGTCACACGTCGCCCCGAACTATGAGGATGAGTGAAAATCACTCCCCTCATAGTTCTCCTTTGAGCTTGCAACGGGGCTGCCCTTGGTAATTTTGTTTCTGCCGGGAGTTCTTCTTTAACATACACTTTGACAAGGGGTTTGTCAGGATTTATTTTGTTGAGCAGCTGAGGAAGGAGTTTACAACAAATGCAATATCTTAACACATCAGTTTCATCAATTTGTCTCATTGACCTGCAATTGATACAAATCCCCCAAATACGTAGACACGTTACCTGGATTGTCAGCTCCTTCCCTTCTCTTGTGATCTTCACATGGTGCAGCTTTCGACTGTCTAGTCTCTTCAAGCCCAACGTATAGACATACATCCCGTCTCTGCCGAGTTTATACCTCACTTGTAAACTACCTGAAAAACAAAAAAGAAATCAGCACCTTGTGATCAGTGAATATATAAAGTATATATA